TAGGACAAGTTGTTGTTCCATAAAACTGAAGAATGAATATTACGAACAATGGAGGTTAAGAACAGAATATATTTATTAAGGGAAAGAAAGCTTCTGTCCAAGAGAGGGACAGAAGGGGGCCCAAGTGGATTGCCAAGGACCCTGCGCCTCCCAGGGACCTTACAAAGCAAAACCCTGAGGTGAGGTAGGTCTAAGATAGGGAGAAAATGGGAAATTACAAGGTGGGCATGAGGTGGGACAAAACTATGGTCGGCCAATAAGATTACAAGTATAATAGTTCAGGTGAAATTGAGTAAACTGGGATCAAATGGGGAAGCGCGTCATATAGCAAACGGGTATGAATACAGAACAGGGGCTTTTCCTGTAGGAGGTTGGGCTAGTGAGTCTTTCTGGCTTTTTGAAGGTGGTTCTTACCTATTTAGAATATCAATCCCTCCTGTTCACACCTAGGGAAGTATGTGGGTGCATTTGTTTCGTCCTTTTGTCTCGAGGTCTGGCCCACAGGTATCTTATCTTGTCTTTCATGTTGGCTCCCTTGAGGGCCTGGCCCTGTCCTACTGCCTGTAATACTTCTATCTACCTCAGCTGCCTATAAAAATGATGCCGAGCGCTCTCCACTTCAAGATTCCCTGTGGACAGCCACAAATGATAAAGTAGATTTTGACTTCAAGGGAAGTAACCACTGGGCGATATCTATGTTTGGGAGCCTGTGTTTGGATGACTTGTCCTTTCTCAGTGCATCTTTTGCACTGGAATATTTGGTCCTCTTACACATGTACCAATATCTCCTAAAAGCCTATTTTCCCAGTAGTTTCCTGCCATCCACCCTGGAGTCCGAGGTTGAGTCTAAGAGTATTTGTCTGTACTCTCTTTTTCCAAGTTGACTCAGGCATTTAACACCTCCCCTTCTTATGGTAATTAGAAATGCCTTCTTTCAACATCTTAGCAAATGCCCTGCTGCATGATCCTGAAGTAAAATATAACCACAGTTCTGCTACTGTTCTATTTTGCCAAAGACAGTTTCCCAGGTTTGTTTGTTCCATCACTTTTCCTAGAAGTGAGGGAACAACAGTATGTACAACATCAAAAGCAAGAGCAATTATAATTACAAACTCAGTTTATGAGGGAAGATCAGATAACATTGTTTTCAAAGTCCATAAAATAGTGTAGCTCACCATTTCCTGAGTTGAGTAACTCAGTTTGTGTTTTTTATTTTTGTGGATGCTCTGTAAAAAGTGGGTTTTATGTGTGTGTGCAAGCCCAATTTTTTTCTGTGCATCGTCTCTTAACAGTGCTTTGGTTTTTAAGTTACTCTTTCCACCAAGAGCAAAATTTTCTCAGCTTGCTCCTCTGTACATAATGCTCATACTGTGGGCCGGGGACACAGTTCAGCAGCACAGCGCCTGCCTGGCAAGTGTGAGTTCCTGACTTCAATTCCCAGTCCCAGAAAAAAAATGATAATGCTCATATTTAAGTACAACTTGATGAATCTGATTCCGACCCATATATTTAATGCAGTGACAGTGAGAAAGTCTCATGGAAGTTGAAAGTTTATTTTTCAGTAAATTACGATGCACAAAGTGGCATTTCCATTCACTCTATTCATTCATTTCAGTAAACAAAATTATTCATGACTATATATATATGTTTGTCTACACTTGGCTTCCAGTTGTTCATGGGAAATCCCTACCAAAATATAATGTCCAAACTTTACTTCATAACATTCAGTATGAAATTACATGGCCCTCAAGAAATTCCAGTGGTAAATGTCCACAGCTTTATTGCTGCGGCCTCCGCCAAGGACACATCTCATTTCATCTTCTCTGCTCCCCCACCCCACCCCCAGCCAAAGTTTTGTCAGTCACTAGTCTTGTCCTCTCCCTTCATAAATTCTAGGCTTCAAGATCAAGTAGAGATTCTTCTGGTGTAATTATTTAATAGACAGCCATTTTAGTGGAATCAGACATTTTAATTTGAAAGTTTGAATACATTTTTTATATCTGTGTATTGCTTATGTACACACCATGGCTAAGTAAAATTTTTAGGCTGGGGGAGGAAGGGAGCCATTTTTTGTAATGATGATTCTATGGGAAATAACTCCTCGGCTCTCAACTACTGCTAACTTTGAGGATATTTTAATTTAAGTATGCGATGTTCCTTGGCATGGAATATCCAAGTCCCTCCTTTCAGGGGCACTGGTTTTCTGTCCTTCTTTAGGACTCCTCAACACCAATTTTACTTGTTTGACCTGCGTCTTGTTTGAAACTTACTCAGAAAGGACAGAATTGGTTTAAATGTATGACATGCAATCCTTTTAGAAAGCACACCTTTAAGACAGGCTGGAGAAAATGTCAGAGTAAGACTCTCCATGGGTCATTTTCCCACAGATTCATCAATTTGAACAATTATTTTTGCACAAAAGTGCCTTCACAAGAGCTAAATAAAACACTTGAGGAAACATAGTATTTTGTATTAGCATAATAATGAGAAGCACATTGAAGGAGGTCAAAGAAAAAGAGTTGCGTGTCCTTCCCCAGCTCCAAGTGGTGCATCCGGGAAAGAAACACCTGCAGCTGAGAGGTGCAATTAGTATTGGAAAGCGTTCTTTTCCTCGTAAAGTTGTATTTACGCTGTAAAGATTACCTTTCAGAGAGTTAGATACAGTGACACATCCACTGTTCAGCCGACTATACCGAGAGATATTCTCATCTTTAGACTGAGCACTATGTCACCTAGCTGTGAAAGGTAAAGGAGGTATTTCTCATTTCTAACTCATGACTTTTATGCATTTTCAATGAGTTTGCCAAGATATAGGAGTGATAATAAGTTATATATTTATAGGTATTAAAATAACATATAGATGAAGCTGGATTATTTCTTTGTGAGAAAGAACTTTGGTTTAGCCAAAAGGCAAAGTATTCCACAGTCATTATGAGTTCTTACCCCTGCTCTAATCCTTCCAATTATGTAATTTGGGGTCCAACTTTTAACCATAGAAAGCTTCAGTGTGCTCATTTCAGAAATCCTTTTCTCATACACTTGCAGTGAGGAAGTAGGACATTCTTTCAACCATGTAGAATATAGTAAGTACTTTAAAAAGTTATTCACAGTTATTATACAAAAAATTTTGAGACCTACTAGGTTTTTATAAAAGAAGCCATAAAAAATTACCATTAGAAAGATATGCACCTTTTTCATTTCATGGACTATCACACAAATGGGAAAATTTCAGGGCACTTACATACTAATTCTTTTACTGTCACACAACATGGTCTGTAATAACTACATCTATGCCAGGCAATATCTTAAGTGTTAGGTGTAGACTGCTCAATAAACAATTGTGGTTCTGAACCTCACAGGGCTAATGTATATGTAGGCTTCCTTTTGCTTCCAATTTTGAAGTTTCTTTCCTTCTGTTAAAATAAATATTCTTAATTAAAATGATGCTGCATTTTTCATTCGTATTTCTCTTGAAACTTTCAAAATGAAGTGACTTTCACCACGGTTCTTTGTACTTCACAGGATCCAGATGTGCTCAAACAGTTTTGTGTGCTTCTTACTATGATAGATGGCAAGGGGCACTCTATTTGAGTATGATCTTCTTATGTACAAGGGATGTGCCTTACATTCTGTATTACATTATTTGGACACACTATGGTACACATGAAAAACACTCACTGGTTGTTGAATAAATAAATAAATCCCTCTTCTAATAGCACCATTTTTAGGATAGGGACAAGATGTTCACACTCCATCTTGATACACTCATGTAAGAGGAGGAAAAATAATATTGCAACATCTGGAATCAATACTGATAATATTTTAAATACGCTTGCCCTGAATCTGAAGAGAGGACATTTAGAAAGTTAATGAGCAGTAGAACCAACATGTGCCAGTAGATTGTCATCTTATCTAAGATTTTTAGAACTCAAAATTCGGAATTAGCACTGATAATCAGGAAAAAAATGTCAGCAATTCAGTCTGACTATGTGTAAGAGAAATGTGATACATTTAACCATTCCATATGCACATTATAGTCTTCAACTGGCTTTCCTTGATAAATACTGGAATCCTAGAAGAAAAGTTAGGAAAATGAAGCAACATGACTTACACCTCTCCTATTTGCCTAGCCTACTCACACTCTCAAATGTGTAAATAATTGAACAAAGTCTAAACCAAAAGTGGAAAATCAAAGTACTTAGAAAATCATTAATAATTTGGCACCTAATGAAAAGTTAAGCATTGAAATGGAGTATGTTCTTGACTTTTCTGCCAATTCCTGAATTGTTTAGTCAAACCAGACACTGATTATTTCAGATGAATAATATAAAGATATAACACAAATCACTGAATACTAATTTAAGTTCAGTTTTTCAGACAGAGTATATTTATAGTCATCAGGGTTGTCCCAGTACAACCTATCAGTGTGGAGTATATTTAAACAAGTCTTACTGTGATATTGATATAGGGATTTTTCCTCTGAGATGGACTTCTCAAAATACTAGGTAAATGAAGAAAATTCAGGAAAACCATGAGGAATACTGCAGAAGAGTTCTTTCTGACTAAAGCAACATGGGAAATGTTTCTCCTTGGGTTTGGATAACTTTCATTTCAATTGAAAACACCTATTGGCATAATGTGAGGTTTTCATATAGAACATGTAGTTTATTACTGGGAGACTACACATCTAGTCATATTGACTGAATTTTGTTAGGCAGGGTAAGATAATTTAAACTGTATGTAGTACAAATAAGATAGATGGGAGTTTGTTGGTTGTAGGGAAATGAAGAAGAATAAAACATTTTACACTGTATGAAGCACTGCACATATGCTGATATTTAAAGATTGTCAAGAGTTAGGCTAATAATTCATATGCTAGGAAGATTCTTCCATGGTGAAGATAAGTCACAAATGCACTTAAAAGACAGAAACAGTAAAACGTTATAGAGAAATGGAACAAAGTAATTTCACAATAAACAAGTGATGTCTATTAAATCATCCACAGATTAAGTGGATTAAAACAACAGCGATGTATTTTACTGCATGTCCCTCCTGGGCAGTTCATGTGGCACTCCTGTGGCTGCAGCTGTCTGACGCTCTGGTTACACAGGATGGGCGGTAATGCCCTCACCCTCTGTTCATGCTGACAACTAGGTCGTTTTTCTTCAGTTAGTCCCACTGTGGTGCTTTTATGTATGGACAGCATTTCACAGATGCAAATCCCAGGTCTCTGCTGTGTTGTGATTGGTCATGGCCCATGGACCACAGCACGACATGCGCAGGCTTGGAACCCTGGTGGGTGGGAACTGTAGGAGAGCCTGGGTAAAGCAGAAATAACTACTCAGAAACCTTTATTAAACACATCAGTTCATTGATATATATTTCCAATGTGCTCCTTCTGCATGCTGAGAATGTGGGTAGGTGGGAAGTGTGAAGACAGTTAACCAGTGTCAGTGAGATGACAAATAAATGATTCCCTTTGTCTCTACTAAGTTCAAGGGAGAAGGGATCATTTATTTTCCTCTCAAACTGCATGCCTTTGACCACTTACATCTTTTTTCTTTCAGAGAGAAATAGAAATCCTTAAATCACTATCCTTAAATCACTATCTTAATGAAAGCTTGTAGAGGCTTATGAAGTAATAAAATCTCAGAAATCTGGTCTTTTAGATAAATAATGTGATCACAGATTCTTGGAATGTTCATCAAGTTTAATCTCCTCATTCTTCATGGCAAGTGCTACACTGCTAAAAATCGATACAGATGGTGGAAAGAGTAAATCTAGACGGGCACTGGACCTCATCCTGAAGACTCAATTTTTTTTTTTTAACTGATGATATAACATCATCTATTACTTCATGAATATGATAGGTGTATTTTTAGTAGCACAGGGCTATTCTTATGGTCTGAATAAAGAATTTGTAACACTGGCCTCACAGTGGGATTTTCCAGTAAATAATCTCAAAGCCCAGGTGAAAATTCTAACCCCAGGACTGCTTCAGACAGAAAAGAGTGTGGAGGGGCTGGGGATTTAGCTCAGTGGCACAGCGCCTGTCTGGCAAGAGCAAGGTCATGAGTTCGATTCCCAGTACTGGAAAAAAAAAAAAAAAAAAAAAAAAAAACAGAAAAAAGAAAGAATGTGGAGAAGGACATTCTTCAGTTACTCTTTCATTGTATTGCCACAGGCCTAACCAAGCCATGATTGTTGGGTTCCCGAGGAAGTCTAGCAAAGGCATTGGTGGAAAGGAAAAGATTGCAAAACCTGTGTCCACCAGGATTTCTACCATGATGCTCCTGCCCTGGAGCTGACTGGCCATGCACTTAATCCTATGAACAGGTGAACTCAATAAACTTTGACTTTGAAGTTGTGGGTGTCAGGTATTTTGGGCCAGGACTGAGTAAGCTAATAAACTAGTCCTCTCAAAAATCAAATCTGGGGGCTGGGGATTTAGCTCAGTGGCAAAAGCGCCTGCTTGGCAAGCGCAAGGTTGTGAGTTCGGTTCCCGGTACTGGAGAAAAACCAAAACAAAACAAAACAAAACAAAAAAAATCAAATCTGTTGCACTGGGGATACAGCTCAGTGGCACAGTACCTGCCTGGCAAGCGTGAAGTCTTGAGTTTGATTCCCGGTACAAAAAATCAAATCAAATCTCTTACATTTTCTTCCAAATGAAAACTTAGGCTTTCCAGACTGGTGTTCATGAGGGACCAGGGAGCATGGCAGGCAGACCCAACTGCCTTACAAACAGAGTGGACTTCTGCTGTCCATTGTGATTCTGCGCTATATAGCTATTGACTCTTTTCATCCCTTACCACTTCTCTACATATATCTTTCCTTCACTCAGTATTAAAATAATTGCATTTCCTAGTGCACTGAACTTTCCCACTGTTTTATAGTTGCTGTGATTTCTATTTGTGATGTGGCTGTGTAATTTGCTTTCTTTTATATTGTAACTAGCTCCGACCTCTCTTGTAGAATCCATTCCTATTTGCTTTCCTGTGCTCACTCTGGTTTAGTGTCTGTCTTCTCTGCACTGTGCATTAATCCTGATCAATGCCTTTTTGCATGTACTCTGGTAAAGACTGCAAGCTGTGATTGTCTCTCGGAGCTAGTATGATTGTTTGTCATTCACATAAATCCTCAGTTCCTATCACAATGCTACCATCCTGCAGGTACTAGATAATAAATAACTATTTGTAAGTTAATAAATGTTTGTCAGAGATTTGTTTTGCCTGTGATGTGAGATCACCTAATGTATCATCAAGACCTGTTCCTGAATATTTTTTTTCTAAATATGTTTACTGGAGAATTAAAGCAAACATTATAATATATACTCTATCACTCTTTACTTAGACTATCTGTGAAAATTCTTCTCTGATACTTGATTCAGACTATGCCAAATGTACTACTCATTCCTCACATAATTTTAACCATATCTGATGCCATAATACTGATATAGTCAGCAAACCAACCACTTAATAGTATCGAAGTTGGTAATCAACATGTTAGACATTTGTTTTTCAGTGCAATGATAAAGTGTTAATAGTTACTTTTAAAAACACTGGTAGACAAGATTTTAGCATCATTTTTAAAAGAAAATTGTGGCTTTTGCAAAATGACAACACCCCAAGCTTTGTTATTTAAATAGTTAATTTTTACCAGTTCTAATTTCTTTCCACAAACCATATTCTCTGGATGCCTATGGTATCATTTAATTCTTGGAACGGTTGTTTCCTAAGCAGTTGTCACAGCATTAGCTATACAAATGCAGCTTCAGAATGTTCCCAAGCTACTTACAGGGTACACGGGGAGGGGGCTTCAGTCTGTTCTGGGAAGGCTCTTTCCCTTTGTAAAGTTAACATCCCATCAAAAATGCATTACAAAATCATTCTCCTACTCTGTGCCTGTTCCAGAGATTTAGGTACATCTGCTCAAAATGCATTTGCATTTTCCTCCCATTGAATTTGTTCACTGTGGCCCAGGCAAATACGCTCTTATCTGGCATGCATGGGAAACCAGGCAGGACTTCTAAGGAATTTGTCCTCCCAAATTCTGGCGTTTAACTGTGTCAGTACTTACACGGTCCAGTGCTTGTGGGCACAGTGACATCCAAATTTCTATTGCTTTTGTGCACACTTGTAAATTCCTCCCGGCACAGCTGGGCTTGGTATCCTTTCCCCAAATTTGAAACCCTTGAGGTTTTCATGCTGAAGGTTCTTAATCCCTAGTGCACCCCAGAGATGTCAAAGGACTGGACATGGAGATGAAACCGTGGAACATCACCGAGGAAGTATAATTGCCACCTGTACTGTCAATGAATGTACTGAGCTGCACCTCAGAACTGGTTTATGTGGGGGATTCACTTGTTTGGGGAAAAAATGGACAAGTTAAATAAAAACAATAAGCTCACAATGTTCCATTAAGCTGCTTTGTTGATGTAATGGAGGATGTTTCCTCTTGAGACAGTATCATCCCCTAAGTTCTTCATGATAAAATATTCTCCATCCTCTGAAACAATGCCAAAAGCAGGTGAGAATTAATTACTATAAAATATCTTTTTTTTGAAAAAAAAAAAAAAAAACTTAGGAAACTTGTTTTGCTTCCTAACGTATATATTTGGAAGTTATTTAATTGTCTGTGAAATTCAAAAGGGAAGAACAGAAGGAGAAGTAAAAATGATTAAGATGCAATATCTAATGTACCAATTTACTAAGATGAATGCAATTATTACGTATTGTAAACGTATACCCCCCAAATCAGTACAGAGTATTTTTGTCTTTGTTGCTTGTTTTTTTCTGATATCAGGAATCGAAATCACGACCTTCCGCTTGCCAGGCAGCCGCTATGCCGCTGAGCTAAATCCCCAGTCCCAAGAGTACTTTTTCTTTTTTGTCTTTTTGAGACAGGGTCTCGCTATGCAGTTTAAGCTTGCCTTGAGCTCACTTTGTAGCCCAGGCTGGTCTTGAACTCGCAACAATCCTCCTGCCCTAGTGTCCGGAGTGCTGGGATTACAGGCGTGCGCAGTATAGAGTATTTTGCATCATTCTAATTCTCATATTTCCCTATGGGGTATTACTTCTAGGTCCATTTTGTAATCAAGGAAACCGAGGCTCAGAGGTTATATTTTATGCATTTCCTTAGTTCACAGAGATAGTAAATGACTAGAGATAAGCTTTGGATTGAAGGGATTTGTCAAGAGTCTATCCTCATAAATCTCTATGTGAAACCACAACACTATTTCCACAGACTTCACTGGACCCCTGGATGCCCGTTGTTGACTTTCTTGGCTTCTTACCCTGGCATCATGAATCACACATGTTAAGTGTCTTTCCGTGTGTCAGCATATATAGTACTGCTCATTCAAAAGGAAGTTTCAGTAATACCTCAGCTCACAAATGCTTCTGTTTGCTATTGATTCCCTTCAAAATCAGAGGTCTTCAGCAAAATTTTGCTTCCATTCATGAATTCTGCATCAGGTGTTGACCACGACCGTGGCATCTTCCCCAGACTCATGGAACAAATTAAATTCGTGAACCAAGGTCCGCAGCACTGTGTACAGCCTCACCGAGCTACAGTGTGCTGTGGGATATGTAAACCAGAAATACGAATTCTGATGTCTAAAAAGAGTACGAAGTAGTAAATGCATTTGTAGCAATGAAGACAAAGCATCATTTCTAAAATTCACTCTATAAATGAGGATATTTTGTAAGCTGTCACATTTGGTCCCTCCGCTTCAAGTCCTGTCCTTACCTTGCTGCCTGGGGAAGTGGGACTCTTGTCTCAGGACTCTTCCCTGTGATCGGCACACTTTCTACTCACAGACAATGCAGTCTCTGCTCAGTTTCTATTCATGCATCAGGTACAGTCCCACTACCTCCCTGTCTTTTGATACAACAGCAGTACATGCAGCCATGATAGTTATTATTTGTTAAGTATCTGTGGTCAACTCTGATAAACTGTGTACATATACCTAGCTGCTCATGCAAATTTGACAACCAGTTCACTCTTAGGGTCTCTGGCTTAGCAGTGAGAAAGTTAGTATCTGGCCTAATGTCACCCAGTTTGTAAATCAACATAATGTGAAATTATAATCAGATATACCGAGTGTATAAATACTCTGTTGGTTCTATAGCAATGTCTAAAATGGCATTTGGTTCCACTGTGAGCTTCTTCTAGTTTTATCTATGGGACTACAGGGACTCAGTCACTCCCTAATGCTGGTGCCTCATCTGCAGTCTCCAATACCTTTTCTGGGGACTGGAATTTTGTATGCCCTTCTCGGCTTATCTACTGACAAATCCACGGCAATGCTGACCATACCATAAATCATGATGTACATTGTGTCTCTAGCTTCTTTCATCTCATGTTCTGCTTGTTCAAAAAAAAGCCATAGACATAAACAGAAGTTTTTCATGCTAGCCATGTTTTTGCCCTTTCCTTTTCTGCCTGCTATTCTACCTTCTGGGTTCCATGCTTTTTTTATTGATCTTGGCTTCCTTACAAAACACAAAAAGTATCCTTGATATTTATTCTGGGAAATTCTATTTTCTCTGACTGACACATTGAGTGAAAGATTCAAGTTTTTTCATTGGCTTTGTTACCTTATTGTGAAATGAGTTTCCCCTTGAAATTGCCAAATTTATTTATCTTTGAAACTTTTCTTTAGATATGTCTTATCTTTGGCTCATCAGAAGTCAGCTCATGCCTCTATTTTCAATTTTATGCTATTCTTTTAAATATTGTGATAATTTTATCATTTTTGGTCTTATTGATTTGCTTTGATTTTGTATTTTAGAAAATCATTTTCAAATCTTATTTGTAGTCAATATTTTAATCTTTATTCATGAAAAAGGAATGACAAATTATAAGAGCTTTAGGTTTAGAAACATGGATTTGGAAAGATCACAAATATAAATCTCCCCCCACAGGGAACAGCATGCAGAAAAAGAATGCTAGGAACACGGATGCAAATGACATAGTCAAAGATAAAAGGGGACAGTTTTAAGTGTTGTGAAAATCACTGAATATGATGGGTAGAGCCGGGAGAAGTGTTTCTATTTCTGGAATTTATAAATATGTGGAAATACTTTCGCATGTTGGTCTTAGACTGTTGCACAACTTGTCATCAGTAGCTCGAGATATTCCATACAGGAACAGAAGTGCAGTTCAGCCAGGCTAAAGAAGCCTTATGCTGATTTCAATTGTCCTGTGTTACTAGAAACCATAATTATGAGATGTGCTGTATACTCATGATAACTGGATTTAAAATTCAGAGGCGTAGGTAAAAACCTCGAAGACATAGGGGTAGGCAGAGAGTTCATGAATAAAAACCAAATTACACGTGAAACACTTGAAAGAATCAACAACTGGGATCTCATCCTACTGAAAAGTTTCTGCACATCTAAAGAAATCACCAGCAGAGTCAAAAGAAAACCCACAAACTTGGAAAAAATTTTAGCTGATTGTCCCTCAGACAAAGGGCTTCTATCTAGAACATATAAAGAATTAAAAAATTTCAGCCCCTCCAAATTCAAAGACCCAATCCAAAAATGGGCAGCTGAGATGAACACACATTTCTCAGACAAGGAGATACAAACGGCAAATAAATATATGAGAAAATGTTCAACATCATTAGTCATTCGAGAAATGCAAATTAAAACAACACTAAGATTCCACCTTACCCCAGTAAGAATGGCTAGCATTAAGAAATCAACCAATAACAAATGCTGGCGAGGCTGTGGAGAAATAGGAACCCTTCTCCACTGCTGGTGGGAATGCAGACTGGTGAAACCACTGTGGAAATCAGTTTGGAGATTCCTCCGAAAACTAGGTTTAGAGGTCCCATTCAACCCAGCTATCCCCCTGCTGGGTATTTTCCCAGAAGATCTAAAAACATCATATCACAGTGATATATGTGCACCTATGTTCATAGCAGCACAATTTGTAATTGCTAAAATGTGGAAGCAACCCAAATGTCCATCCACCGAGGATTGGATAAGAAAATTATGGTACTTTTATATAATGGAATATTACTCAGCTGTAAAGAAAGATAAATTCGAGGCCTTTATATTTAAATGGTCACAACTAGAGACCATACTCATAAGTGAAATAAATCAAACATACATGTGCAAGCACCGCATTGTGTCACTAGTGTAAAACTTGAAAGAGTTAATTTAAACTCGGAGGTATGATAGACACTGTGAAATGATAGGAAACCACCGAAGAGTAAAGGGCTTCTGGGATGTGGGAAAAGAGAAGGGAAAGAAGGAGAAATTTTGTATGTATGTATATACAGGATAGATAACATGGTTGTTCTTCTATCTGCTGTTTCTATGCTGAAAGAAACTGTCAATGAGTCTTTGGTTGACCAGTATTGCATGTCTATATCTGTTTTCATGAGAAGCCACTTTGAAGATATCAATATGTAATACAACCACCATTGTTAATTCCCTACCACTTTGTTTGGAACTCTGTATTGTCTGTATTGTGCTTGTGATATGTTGTAAAATGTTGTATGTCTGTTAATGTTTCCCTCCTTTTATCCTTAAAATAAAAAATAAATAAATAAATAAATAAAAAATAAAATTCAGAGGCATGCTACATTGTTTCATAGCAGAAGAAATCAAAACCACATTACAATTATATAATTACTACAATTTATAATACGATTATATAGACTTAAAATCATTTAAACAATATATGGTATCTTAAATTCTTGGGAAATTATTTTAGTAACATAATTTTTAAAGAATTTATAACTATAAACATATTCAGATGTCCTTGGATTTCCTTAGTGTTTTTTTTTAATTTACTTGAATTGAAGAATTGTATGGACTCTCAGAACAATACAACATTCTTACAAAGTTTAGGAAATTTTTCCACTGAGAATTTTTATTCTGTACTGTGTAGAAGTTACCAAAATGCCTCTATCTCATTGAAATTTCTCAAGTAAAAACCTAAAGAAATATAAGTTGTTATTAAGTCTTTTTTTTGTCTTTAATTCTTAGTGCTATGTTTGGCTTGGCCATGAACAGTCAGAATTTTCACCAGTAACTCACGTGGCACTAATTATACAGCCCCTGGATGGAAAGATCTTGATACTCGAGTCACGCTGTCTACAGCATGTGTCCCTGCAGAGTAACATTATCTCATGTTTTGCTTTAAAACACATAGCTCTTGCTTCATATTGAGGATATGAAATCTTAGAGTCACAAGTAACATACAAAAAATTGAACACTATTTATTCTTCAATCAAACGTATATATTCAAATCAATAAATGTGACATACAGATAATGGCCGGCTGTCTCTACGTGCACTTCTCAAGGAGATCCACCTTGTATGCTCAGAAGTTGCCCAGGAACATGCCAGGAATGAACAATCACTTTATACTTATGGAGGGTTAAACAGTTTCTAAAAAGATCACGCAGACCATGTTCAGGTGGCAAACACCATATGTACTACCTGGCTCTTTTTAGAAAATGTTCACAAGCTGGTGGTGTAGCAATCTGTTGATTTAAATGAGCGAATAAAAGCACCTCTCTTTTTTGGGGATCCGCACTCTATTTCTTTGAGGGTGTACTTTTAAATTCCTGCCTAATAAACCTTATACCACTGAATATATATATTTTGATTCTAATTGGATGTTGCAGAGACATAAGAAGTGTTTACTGTTGAATTAACATTCTGCTGGGAATATTAGCTATGTGTGCATAAATGTAAAACAAAAGATTGAAATGAAGAAGAAATCCAAAGGGTCCATACATTTATGGAAAATTCTTACCACCACTGGTTATTACAAAAGTAGAAAATCAAGCATCAATTATACCTACTTTTTAATAATTGGGTTAACAAAATGTAAGAAGATTGCTAGCCAGTTGTGGTTAACACAAAGGGAAAATGTACCTGTAAGCAATATTGATTACCTGAAAATATGAAACAGAATTTAGAGAGGATGATTAGTCATTAAACACAAAATTTTATATGAATATGTCTATGTCACAGAAATTCCATAGGAGCGAACTATTGCTACATAGCAATCACATCATGATTTTCTTAGAACTAGGAACCTTTAAATTATCACTGAACATTCACATGAAGAACACGAGGTCATTCTGTGGGTGACAGAAAGCAGTGTGCAGTTTAAAATCTTATATTTGCTTGTTTTCATATAGTATCAATTTGTGTATATAGTTTGTGCTCATCCCCAAAGCTCAATATAATAAAACAACAGGCAATGGGAAAAAACTGAAAAAAGACCAAAGAAGAAAACCTCAAGAAAATTTGTCATTTTATTTTCTCTAATAATTCTCCAAATTGTCCCTTTATACTTGAAATTTTATTTTCTAATGGAATCTGAACTCAGATCGGATTTGAAGAGTAATGGCTGAGTTTACAAACATTACAATTCTAGGGAAAGGTAGCAGGTTCTATAGCGACAGGAGATTAAGGAGCTGTGAAGCTCCAGATCTCAATACCTACTGCACAGGAGCGCACCTCTGAGCATGTCTCCTTTGTGACTGGTGACAAGAAACACCTGTGCCTGACGAAAACTGTGGAAGACAGGAACCTAGTGACAGCAGTAATAGGTGCATTCATCATGTTTCAGAGAAGTAAACTGGAGACCAGTAATAGACAATTATAACTAAATCGTTGTGCATGGATGCCAGTGATTAGAGTACTGTCAATCGTCACTACCACTGCCATTGATTAACATGGTCTTCTTAAAATACTTGGAACATTGAGGAGAAACATATTATAGTTGCATGCTTACCTATTGAGTAGTATCACTGAGAGTACTCAACAAATAATTTGTAATTTTGATGCATAATTTCAAATGAATATGACATAGAAAATGAGACTATGACAAACTTACCAGCTTATGTTACATTGTTCAATGAAATATATTTTGAAAAAAGTGTGCTCTTGAAGTTTTTGATTTTAGAACATGCAGAGTGACCTCAAAACTAGTACATGTAACCCTGAGAGGGAGAGTCATAGAAAAATGGAGGTTTCCCCTTGTTAGCTGTGTTAGATGAGTGATACAATAGACATGTTTTAAAATCTCCTAAATTTATTGGATAAATTTTGATGCTAAGATGAATTTCATGGTTATAATTATTGTACTTTTGAAAATAACTATGTATTTTCCATATTGAGAGGGACAAATTAAAAAGACATGAGACAGCATTTAGTTAATAGCAAGTTATTGCCACGTATGTGATTTCTTGAGCACAAATATCACTGATTTGGCATCCCAACAGTTTTGATTTTCTTCTTATTAAATTTATTTCAAAACATTCTCAATTCTTAAACTCCTGCCATCTGTGGATGGAAATCCAATACTCTCTGATCAATATCATTGAGAATTTTGTACAATTGTCCTTTCCTGGGAAATTCTTTGATTTTCACTAGATTGCTCTTCTCTGTTACATTTTCTATCTATTCTTTATTCTATAGTCCAGTTGACATCAAAGTAGAGTGAAGCCTCTAGTTTTCTTTACTGTTCTCAATGTCCAAAGGAATAAGGCAATTACCAAAAGTGTAAGCTAATCAAAAAATAGCATAGCTAAGAAGCAAAAACAAAATGTAAAAGCATATAAGATGTCATTGCTTTTGAAAGTTGACTAGTCATCTCTTACTGACAATTTCTGATCACCCAAGTTTTGTACTCTGTCCCTGTAATCTTCCACTTGCTAAATACTTCTCTTCTTTTTTATATCTGCTCCTCACATACCCACTCAGTACACCTTGGTGCACCTATCATTTTCCCTGCCTTTCTGCACAAACACAATACCTATTACTTCTTTCACAGGTCAAATAAGCCATGCACTTATTCATCATCCTAAAACTATGCCTGTGATTCCCGGCTATATTTTCATAAAAAATGGCCTATCAATGAGTTTTGATAAGTAAAATAATAAATAAAAATCTGTATCTACCAGGAATTTTGCATCAAAAATGTAACCTTTAATAACAGTAAGATGGCAATGCTTTTTAAAATACGAAAATGCAAGTTCAGAAAGATTAACTAGCTTGCCCTACACTGAGTTATCTTTACTCTCATTAAATATTCATTGACTTGTTCATGGTCCCCTCCATTACACTGGGGGTTCTTTTGACTAAGACCGGATGTCCTAGAGGTGTTTCATGTGTGGAAGGGTTGGATTGAAGCTGGAGTTTTTACAATAGATTACACAGTAGCACCAATTGAGAAGCACTAAATAAAGTGAGGTTGGAGCTAATCTCTAAGTATCACTATGAAGAAATCCTAAACTGGAGCTTTTATTTAGAAACATAGAGATATACTCCGAATTCAATACCTTGAAGCTGTACATTGTTCTGCTATCTTCTTTATAAAACAGAACTAATTAATCATGTCAGCACCAAAATCATGCCAACCCGTACAGAACTGAGCTCTCTAATCTTATCATGCTCTCCACCTAGCTAAAGTTCCATGTGAACTTTATGTGGTGATACCTGAGGGGAAAAAGCTATGAAAGTGTGTGAAAAGTCTCAAAGTATATATGACGAAACTTTTCACAAACAAAGGTTTAAATAACATGGCTTATGTGCTATAGTATTTAAATAAAAGGCTGGGAAAGGCAAGATCAAGGTTGTGGCAGGGTTCAGTTTCTGGTGAGGGCTCTATTCCCGACTTGCTGGTAACTGCCTTCTGGCTTTGTCTTACAGAGAGAGAGAGAACCCTAGGTTCTCACTCTATCAGATTAAACCTCCAGCCCTATGGTCTCATGAGAACCCACTTACCTCTGAGATGAGTAGCTTAATTTCCAACTTGACTGGCTTGGGACTGCCTAGAGGGTTAGTAAACCACACTCTGTGTATGCCTAGGGGAGTCATGGGGGTGGGACCTAGGTAATGTATATGGTCTCTGTCCTCTTCCTCTGTGCCATAACTAAGAAGCTTTGTGATCCAACACCTTTCCACCATGATACTCCTACTTTGGAAGGAGCCAACCATAGACTGAGACCTCTGAAACTGTGAGCCAGTTAAACCATTTCTCCCTTTAAATTGTGGGTTTCTGTTATCTGATACCAGTGATAGAAGTGCTGGGTAATATACCTGCTATTACAGTTTGTATCTGAATGTCCCCTCCCACAAAGCCTTATGTGGTCATGGGGGGTGGGATAGACTTTGTGATTGGTTCATTATCTAGTGAGGAATCAGGCATGAGAATGCTGCACAGGCAGGTAGCCTGCATTCAACATAAGGGAGGAAAACAGGCTTGCTCCTCCCTTTTGCTCTTGTTGCTCTTCCTGTCTTGTGACACCGTGAATTGCTGCCCCTGTGCCATGTCACCTTGCCTTGGAACCAGCCAATTATAGACTGAAACCCCCACAAACTGTGAGCTAAGTAAACCTTTCCCTCCTTAGTTTTTTGTGTGTTAGGTATTTTGTCTCAGCAACGAGAAAAGTACCTAAGACACCTCCTAAAGGACTTGCCCCATGTACAGTCACATTAAGGGTTAGGAATTCAGCATATGGATTTGGACAGCATGCACTGTAGGTCATAGCAGCTAACTTGTCTCAACTTATAAGCAAAATCTGGAAGACTTATAAAAGTAAATGTCTGACAGTTTATCTAGGAATATAGTCTGTCTTCCCTATCCATGAGCTCCACTTTCTTAAATTTAATCAAGTGAAGATTGGAAATATTTTCTAAAATGCATGTATACCAAACATCTACAAATTTTTCTTTTCATTATTTCCTATGAGTGCTAGTTGCATACATTTATATTATAATGTGCTAGGTATTATTAGTAAAGTAGAAATGATTGACAATATATGGGAGAATGTGTGAATTAAGTGCAAGTTCTACATTTTTTATGAGGGACTTCATGTGCTCTGGAAACAATTTCCTACAGTTATTGAGGGACAAATGTGTATTGTTTTATTTATGGTAATAAAACTACTTTATTCTGTTTATTTCAATCTAATTAAAATGATATTTGCTTTTTAAAGGTTGCACACATTTTCACAAAGGGCTTCTCCTGTGTAGAACACAATACTGCAGGAAAAAAAAAAAAGACCCTGTTAAAGCCTCATCAATGTGTTGCTCTCTGATGAACTTAATAGGTCTGTATAAAATTGTATTTTACTCAGAGAGGAGGCACATATGGCTTAGGACTGTTAGGTTTATGAAATTTACCTTCCCCTGCCTGCTTGTGACTGACAGAGCTGCACTGATTGGCTAGCCCAGTATGCTATGTGCTTTTATAGACCGTCATTCTGAACACTGTACCCAGTTAGAAACAGACTCCCTAATGAGAAAATGAAAAGGCCTTAAGGCCTGCATGATCCATGCGCGTGTATGTGTGGAAATCTCTGAAGGCACCTTTGCAGTAATGAAATTATCACCTTTCGTTTATACAAGTCTTTTTATTTAAAGAGCTCTCAGTGGTTCAGAAATACCATCCACTGATCCTCTGGGAAGCTCTTGAAGACACAAGAGGAGCCTGTTAAAATGGTAAGTGGGTCCGGTCCTATAAAATGCTAATCATAGTTAACATGGGGGCAGAAGAAAATTATCTCATCAAAGGAACGAATCTGTATTACATCCCATGGTGCAAACATTTAACTAGAGGATCAGAGCCTGACACGTGCTTACTACATTGTCTGTGCTCTAAGAATGTGATTGAACCAGCAGCTGAGGAAGGCCAGCCCCACGGTGGCTTTTAATCCAAAAGCTTTTCCAAGGAACTTAACTTATTACCGAACAGAAACTTAACCAAAATTCTCTCCACATTTTTGTCTTTTCCCGACAGTTAAAAACATATCTAAATCCACAAAGGAGCTCTCAGTGTAAATGAAAGCTGAGGCTGCTTGCACATCTCCAATAGGACAGCTATCCCACAGATAGCATTATTTTCTCCATCCTTCTAGTAAGAATGCAGATAATTCGGATTAGGGTCAAAGATCCTTGTTACTTGGGCAGTCTCCTGGGTGTACCGTGCCCACATGGTGTGAGGGATCCATCGAAAGGGTTTTGGAGGGAGATTGGAAGGTGGGGTTGCTCTTTCTGCAAATTTTCTTGTTGGGATTTATGATTTGGATGTGTATGATTTCACTTTTCTTCTGGGTAGACTAATTATACATTTTATATTTTCAAAGTTGGGAAGTCTAATTGTAAGAAGTCCTGTCGTTGAGCTACAGTACAATGTAATAGATCAGTTTAGTTCCAACGTCAAAGCGTAAATCAGGTCTGGGATGGAGCTCCAGTGGGGAGCAAAGGCTCAGCTAGGGTCTTCCATCTGCCAAACTAGTAAGAACAACCACAGCAAAAGTGTAAAGCAATATCTATACAGTAAAACATGCTGTACATCGAGGCATGGAAAAAGTACGCAGAGTCAACCTGAATGTCGACTCCGAATCTCTCAGTATTCAACACTGAGCAACAAAAGTGACATAATATTGGACTATAACCAAAAAACAAAATAAGTACTTATGGTTCTTTATGGATGTAAATAAATAATTGAATTTGAAACTGCAGAAGAAGAATACATCTTCCTTACGGAAGAATCCAAGAACGTGAATACCAATACATACAAAGTCGTTTGGAGGGGGGCGGTCCGATATCTTGTCCTTGAACTTGAATAGAGCTTAGTGATTTTACTGCAAAAATATATACAGAAAAAACAAGAAGATAATCTTGGAACGGTGATCACTGATGTTACTGTTGATAAATCTCCATCGTATTATGTCCTCCTTTATACAATGTGGAGGAAAATTGGCTACCTATCTGTTTTATTCCACTTTAATTTTGCACATTTTGTCTAATTTTGAGAGTACATAGAGCAAACCCAATTTGAGATGTCATTCAAAGTATTTGATATGTGCTCTTGAAAACTGCCAAAGTTGTGAAAAATAAGAAATGCTTGGGAAATGTCACAGTTTATCAGAGAATACAGTCAAGTGCAATAGTATATTCTGGACAGTATAGTGGAATTATAAAAGATATTAATAGGAAAAACTGATGGAATCACAGCAAAATTGTACCATATTTAGTGGTTTTGAAGCAAAGTTAAATTTTACTTTACACAAATATATGGCTATATATATTGCCAAAATAGAGGAGACAGTTGAAAATTATATGGTAACTGTCTGCATTACCTTTGCACATTTCAAAAGGAATGTTTTAAAAGATTATTCTGATTCCTTAAATCTCTCATGAACATAGTCTTTATATTCTAAATTATTCCAATAGACTCACTTCCCCTCTATCTGTGGGAGAAATTACTTTCTTTTTAGTTGAGCACTGCATGAATTTATTTGCTTCCATTTAAGGGTTATCATAAGTAGCAGGGAAGAAATGTATCTTTAAATATTAAAACCAAGGATGCCAGTATTGGGAAAATGTTTATATTGTAAGATGGAAGACTGTCAGACTTGAAAATTTGAGATAAATTTTCCATCACACAAAATTAACCCTTTTAAAGTCATTTTATTATGTACATCCCCAACTCGTGTGAGTAACTACTAAATAATCACTCCCCATATCTTTTCCATTCACTGGCAATCACTAATCTTTCTGTCTCTATGAATTTATCTTCTTATTGGTTCAGGTTTGCAGCATATAATGATCACATCCATCAAAGAGAATTTGCACTTGTATATAATAGATCTTAATTTTTTTGTCCTTTCTTCCACACTTCTTTCCTTCCCCATTTACACAAGCTTTGTTTTCACTTTTTTTCTTCTCTTCTCTTTTTAGTCTATTTTCCCTTGCTTTCCTCCTCCTCATTTGAGCATGTTCTTTCTTCATTTCTGTATCTCTCCTCCATTTTGCTCTTCATTTATTCTTTGGGTTTCTCACACAATAGAACCAATGGGATTTAAACTTGTGTATCTAATTTATTTCACTTAAAATTATGGGCTCAAGGTGCATCCACTTATCTTTTTGGGATATTTCACAGCACATAACTGTACACTGTGTGACACTTTGGTCTCACTTTTTTCACTTTGGATGTTTTGAAATTCAGCTAAATTGTGTCATGTATCAGGACTGTATTTATTTTTCTGGCTGACTCATTCTACTGTTTATATATGCCTGTGTCTATTTCCAGTCATCCCCTGATAAGCTTTTGAGATTATGAAATTTTTAAATGTTTATGACTAATGCTACTCTGAATCTTCCTGAACAAGGATTTGTTCAAGTATATGTTTGCCATCACTTTCCTTATATTAATGTAATGATTAAGCTTGTCAACTTAACTGGACTGAGAGACTCTTGAAGATATGATTGGATCAAGTGACTGCTATTCTAATCAGTGGATTAATCCACTAGTGTTCATATCTGAAGGTGCAGTTAGAAGGTAGGACCCAGTTGGAAGGGAGTTATTAAAGCTGTACTTTTGGGGGTTATATCTTACCACAGAGCTCTACCCCTTTGCTTTACTTCCCGGTCTCCATGAACTAAGCAGTTTTCCCAAACCATGACACTCAACCACAGGTTTCTGCCTTGGATTGAGCCCTCCATGGACTAAACCTTCTGAAACTGTGAGCCAAATTAAGTCTCTCTTTCCCTAAATTATGTGTCCGGTATCATGTGCCAGCATCAGAAGAGTGACTCATGGGGTGCAACTAGCAATGAGATTAGTATGGTACTTCTGTGTTCACCTTGGAAAGAGCCACACAACTAAATTCCAAGGGATTCTATTTCTATATGTTGTCCCAAAACTTATTATTTCATACTCAACATATGCTTGCCAACATTAGTTATTTGGTATAGCTGGGCTTTTAATTATAGTTATTCTAGTGGAATTAAAATGGTACCTTATTGTAGTTTTGATCTACATATCTTGAAAAAATTGATTTTGAAATCTGGCCACATATATCCT